AGTGCCCGCCGCCCACCGGGAAATCGAGTTTTCTAACAGAACCACACCTCCGATCAAGTCGCGGGTGACATATTCCTTTTCCTTGAGTTCTAAACTATAAGTTAGATACTCCAGTCAATATCAAACACCTCAACAAACCGCCGAATGATGAACAACGTAATATTATACGATTTTACAACCAAACAACATGGAACCAGCATGCCCGGCATAGCAGAAATATAAGCCGCTGGCCACCGTTCAAACAACGTTCTCCCCGCTGCGAGGAACAATATTAAGCCGGCCAATATTTATATCGGCAATAACGGATATTCGTATAGTCTGTCCCGGCATTCCTTTCCACTCCACCACCGTCGCAGTGCGTTCGAGTTGGAACAAGTTGGTACGTGTCCGTAGTCGCTGAGCGCCGCCGTCCGAGCTGAGTAGCCAGTAACACTGACCAACGTACGACTATCAATTGCCGAGCAGACCAAGGAAGACGTCGCACCATCCGAGTCGTTCTAAGTTCAACATATCTCCGAGCAGAGTCCCTGTTGAATCAAAGTCGAGCCGTTCCCGCCGGTAATAACATATTATTACCGCGTCGCCGTGATCGCGCCACTGTCCGTGGAAGCTTATTGCCACAGACCCAGCCATCAGTTGTCGTGAGGGAAAGCCGCCGTCCGAGTAGAGCCACCTCAAAACCCGACATTAAAACCGTGAGTTATATGTACACGCTTTCTCCCCCCCCCCCATGTTTTATGTTAACCCACATTTAACTTATTTTATATTGTAAACTCGTAAGAGTAGTATAATTAATACTGTAATACAAAATATCAAAAAGATGATGAAAATAAACGCGCAATAATATAAATACAATAAATCAAGCGTTGCGTTTTCATTACATTGGCGCCCAACTGCAGTGCTCGAGTAAGAAAAAACATTTCTACGTCGACCCACGAGATTAAGAAAATACTGCATCGTGTTCATTAAGAAGAAACCTACATCTTTAAAAAAAAATGGCACCCAAGAAAAATATATCAGAAGAAACATTCAATGCATTTAAAAACGAAGTAGAAAGAAACAGTCAATATTTAGTCAACCAATTACTGCAAAAAATTAATCAAAAGAGCTTTTATTGACGAGTTCTGGTCCAGAGAAATACAAATACAGGTATGGAGTCAATGTTTAAATACAAAACACATACCAACAAACACAAATTACCGTGAACATTTTGCCACGTGGGCAACGAAGTTACGACATTTGGAGGTACCACGGTTGTCCGAACAAGAAATAGTGAAGCACATAGCTCGGCACTACCCAGGTTACCTCAGGGCAATATTAGTATCGTTACCAGAGTGTACCATACTTTCAGCCATGAAAATATTAGGTGAGGAGGGGCAAGGCGATCAACCCACCGAAAACAAAATAAATCAGCCAAAAACCAACCAAAACGATTCCAATAATCAAAATAATCAACACAGAAATAACAACAATTGGAACAACACACGAAACAGTGGATGGAACAACATGCCGCCACGCAATAATCGTTGGAACAACAACCAAGCACCACGTCACAATGACCGACGTGAGGACGCTCGACCAAATAATCAACCACAAACTGAAAGAGTCAACCAAGTGATCGCAAATTGTGATGAACAAACCGACGCAAGTAATAATAGTGAAAATCACGCAATAAATTCACTAAGTACTACAAATGCATCAATAAGTCCATATATCAAATGTGAAATTGAGGGTGAAGAAATGCTGTTGTTAGTCGACACCGGAGCCACAATAAGCGTACTTACAAAGGAGGTGATTGACGTGATCACACAGAAAAATCCTAGGATACCACAGCTACAAGTCACGGGGATACAAATTAGTAACGCTGTAGGAAAACGAATATGCCAAGTGTCCAAGCAAATATTTTGTGAATGTAAAATAGGGGACATTTACCTACAAACTAACTTCATACAAGTGGAAGGCCTCAATGAACAAGGAATACTGGGAGCCGACCTATTGAACAAATATTCAGCGCAGATAAAGTTCAATAAACAGACAATACAATTCAACGTCAATAACGTACCACTCACCATTCCATTCGCCAACCGAGAACCAAAGATAATCAAGGAACATCTTCTCAATGTGGAAATAAGTGAAAATACTGATGACGACCAAATAGCATTAACCGATCAAGAGAGTAATACATTTATATCATTACTCAGCAGGTATGAACACATTTTTTCGGAAAAACCTGGTAAAATCACCGACTTCCAGTGTCAGATACGCGTCAAACCAGGGGACCCTATCTATCAACGACCATATCCGATACCCGTATCAAGGATACCTAAAGTAGACGCAGAAATACAAAGGATGCTAGACCTGCAAATTATAGAAAAATCAACATCACCATGGTCATCACCGATTGTATGCATAGAAAAGAAAAATGGAGATATTCGACTATGTTTAGATGCTAGAAAAATCAACACCGTCATAATACCCGATAGAGAGTGTCCGACCAACATGGATGACACACTTATCAAATTCCAAGGAATGAAATATTTAAGTTCAATCGACTTAACCGCTGGTTATTGGCAGTGTCCATTGAAAAAGAAATGTAGAGAAATAACTGCATTTTTACACAAAGGCAGGAACTACCAGTTCAAGGTGTTACCTTTCGGACTCATTAACTCAGTTGCAGAATTTCAAAAAGTACTAGATCAAGTATTGGGACCAGAGGTGCTACAATTTGCTGCAATATATGTGGACGACATACATATTACCTCGACTAGTTTCGAAGAACACATGTATCACCTGGAGCAAATATTTAAAAAATTCGAACAACACAACATCACCATCAACAGAAAAAAATCGCAGTTTTTGAAAAATCAAGTTGTTTTTCTGGGTCACATTATCAGCAAGAAAGGAATATCCATGGATCCAGACAAAATACAAACGATAAAAAACTTTCAACCACCGAAGACAAAAAAGCAAGTACAGGCTTTCATCGGATTCATTAATTTTTATCGAAAGTTCATCAGGGACCTATCACAAGACACGGGACACCTGAGCAAACTAACCAAAAAAGACACAAAGTGGGTATGGGAAACCACGCAGCAGCAAGCTTTCGAGAACATAAAACAAAAGTTTCTTGAAGACATAATAATTCAGTTTCCCGATTTCCAACGAGAATTTCATCTTAACACTGATGCTTCAACCACACACCTCGGAGCAGAGCTCTACCAAATTACTGACCAAGGAGAACATCAGACTTTAAGTTTCGCAAGCAGGACTCTGAAACCAACAGAACAGAATCATAATACCACTGAGCTCGAACTTTTAGCAATTGTCTTTGCATGCAAGAAATTCAGAAATTATTTACTTGGCAATAAAGTTAAAATATTCACCGACCACCATGCACTCACCTTTTTAAATACTTGTCAGTTACTCAACGCTCGACTAATCCGATGGGCAACATATCTCCAAGAATTTCAATTAGAAATCATACACATTCCTGGGAAAGAAAACATAGGTGCCGACACATTAACACGATATCCACAATCACCAACTGATAACCCCACCACAAGGGAGAAGACAATAGTGATAAACAAGCTCTCATTATTGGATTACAGCAATGAGTTAAAGGAACGTTTCAAAAATATAGAAGTATTACAAAAAGAAGATGAACATATCAAAAAACTCCGATCACGCGTAACGCAGCGATCCGATCACAATTTATTGATTCATCAGAACTTGTTGTTCCGCCAGTCACCCAATGGGGAATATCAACTTTTAATACCAGAAGTATTGATCAAACCCCTGGTAGAAGAAACACATAAGATCTACGGGCATTGCGGAACCTATAAGACATTTAAACTATTACAGCAAAATCACCAATTTAAGAATATGTACTGCAACATCAAACGAATAATTAAAGTATGTGATCTATGTCAAAAAACAAAAATCAGCAACATAGTGGCTAGGGGACCAACGTTAAGTCTCCTACCTGCAAAACCACTAGAAATGGTATCAGTAGACTTAATGGGGCCCTTACCAAGAAGTCAAGGAGGTTGCAAATACATATTAGCAGTATTGGATATATTTTCAAAATACATCAAATTATATCCTCTGAGAAGAGCCACAACGGACACAATTGTCAAACGGCTGATACACGAATATATACCAACTGTTGGATTATTTCAAAAAATCTTGACGGATAATGGAACCCAATTCACCAGTAGCAAGTGGGAGAAAATGATGACTGGATTAAAAGTCAAGAGTCTCCATACCACAACTTATCATCCGGAAAGTAATCCTGTAGAACGAGCAAATCGCGAAATTGGTCGCTTGTTACGAACCTACTGCCATCGACAACATACGAACTGGCTAAGGTGGTTAGATAACGTGGAATATTGTATTAATCATACCACGCATACTACCACGGGATACACACCAAATTTTATAATGTTCAAAGAACAAACTAAATTATCTTTGACCAAACTAATAGCATTTCCTAAACCAGAGGGAGATGACAAACCACCAGACTTGGTACAGATTGTCATCAAACGGACGCAGAGAAAAGCAGAAATAAGAAACACCTATAAAGACAAAGAAAAGAAATTTCCTCAATACAACATAGGGGACCAGGTATTAATAAAAGAGCACCGCTTATCATCGGCGGAAGACAAAGAAACTCATAAGTTATTCCTGATATATCATGGGCCGTACACCGTACAAGAAGTACACAACAACAACACGGTAACGGTTAACAATCAAGGAAACTATCATACCATCAACTTCAAAAATGTGAAAAAATACTATGAAGATAAGCCAGAGCCAGGCGAATCCCACAAAAACAATTAGACAGTAATAAATACAATAAAAAAAAAAAAAAAAATGTGTGTAAATGTGTAAATGTGTAAATGTATATCTTTGTATGTAGAAACTAAATTGCCTGTGAAAACTATGTATATAACCAAAAGACCACTAGGTAAAAAACTTACCACTCCTAGGACCCGAGCAACATGCTAGTCCAGATCCCGTTGACCAGGTTGAGGAACACCCTCAACAAACTTGAGTTGACTGCCATTGATAATCTGCTACCAACAGAGCAGAGAAGAAAAATAGCCATGTTTTACCGGCAAGAAGAAGCCAAGAGGACGCAGTATAGCCTGGAACCTGTATACGTGATACCTCCAACTGTGGTGGCGCAAAGACGCCCTTCCGCAACCGAAATGACGTGGGTCGAGTTCCTCAAATGTTGGGAGAAGACACCAGATACACTCAAAACTCCACCTATTATTCAGCAAGTAACCAGCACGACCCAAGAGGAAAATGAGATGACAGAAACCTCATCACAACACAGTGAAACTGAATCAGAGGTCATCATCGAAAGAATCCGGGAGATGATCACTAATAAACCGGAAGCTATTCGAGAAATACGACAACGTCTATGGGAGACCAAAAAGTACCTAAAAGAGTTCCAGAATGTGTCAAATATCCGTCTGAAACGTCTCTTGTACAAAGTAAAGACAAAAGCTACTCGCGAGTACAAACGGCAAAACAAACGTTAGAAGTCTATTCAAATCCATTCAAAATAATCAAAATTTCAAAGTTTTTATTTTTATTTTTTTTGATTGTCCCCCTCATTGCGGAATATTCAAATTACAAAAACACCATAATAAAAAAAAAAAAAAATAAAAAATAAAAAAGGGGACAATGTAATGAGATAAAACGGAGCAACCAAATAGGTGGCGCGCTCTGGTTTTATACATTACCACAACACAAGTGAGTGCCGCCGCGAGAAACCGATTCTGCGACTACGCGCGTCTGCCGCTATAATATATAGATAGCGCGCATCCACGCATTATTGCACAAGTGCCCGCCGCCCACCGGGAAATCGAGTTTTCTAACAGAACCACACCTCCGATCAAGTCGCGGGTGACATATTCCTTTTCCTTGAGTTCTAAACTATAAGTTAGATACTCCAGTCAATATCAAACACCTCAACAAACCGCCGAATGATGAACAACGTAATATTATACGATTTTACAACCAAACAACATGGAACCAGCATGCCCGGCATAGCAGAAATATAAGCCGCTGGCCACCGTTCAAACAACGTTCTCCCCGCTGCGAGGAACAATATTAAGCCGGCCAATATTTATATCGGCAATAACGGATATTCGTATAGTCTGTCCCGGCATTCCTTTCCACTCCACCACCGTCGCAGTGCGTTCGAGTTGGAACAAGTTGGTACGTGTCCGTAGTCGCTGAGCGCCGCCGTCCGAGCTGAGTAGCCAGTAACACCGACCAACGTACGACTATCAATTGCCGAGCAGACCAAGGAAGACGTCGCACCATCCGAGTCGTTCTAAGTTCAACATATCTCCGAGCAGAGTCCCTGTTGAATCAAAGTCGAGCCGTTCCCGCCGGTAATAACATATTATTACCGCGTCGCCGTGATCGCGCCACTGTCCGTGGAAGCTTATTGCCACAGACCCAGCCATCAGTTGTCGTGAGGGAAAGCCGCCGTCCGAGTAGAGCCACCTCAAAACCCGACATTAAAACCGTGAGTTATATGTACACGCTTTCTCCCCCCCATGTTTTATGTTAACCCACATTTAACTTATTTTATATTGTAAACTCGTAAGAGTAGTATAATTAATACTGTAATACAAAATATCAAAAAGATGATGAAAATAAACGCGCAATAATATAAATACAATAAATCAAGCGTTGCGTTTTCATTACATAGTTCAATTCGAGTGATAGTTTCTTCGGAAAAAAACATAATTGAAGAAAATCATTCCATGTCCATTCCAACCAATACATATACAAATTGTATCCTTATATTATTATATTTTTAAAAACATTTAATTGTGTTCAAACTAATATTTTTATGAATAAAAATCTAAAGTAAATATTCGAAATCATAAAGAAAAACAGATTAATTAACACGTCAACTACAATATTGAATTCTTGAAAACTGTACATAATATGTAAAAAAGCTATTTTATTACGGCGTATCATAACCCCCAAAAAAATAATAATTGTTTGTGGTGAACTTTTGGAGTTTTGACACATAGACCCAAAATCAAACAAGTTTGGGTTCGAACAGACTATAGTCAATTTGCATAAAAAAATACTATAAATATATACAACATATTGTGTAATTTGTGCCAATATTTTTTGTGAAACTTATAATTTTCATCAAAATAAATATATGAAAATTGCACCATCTCAGATAGTAAGAAATAAGAATTTGTACAAGTTTTGACAGTAGAGTATAATAAATTGATATGTGGGTATGTGAGAAGCTAATATCACAGAATATTTCGTTTTAGATTCAAAAAGGATATTTCATATTTACAGTCAGTAATGACTTAAAAGCTACGTACGTCGTACCATTTAACAATAATATAAGGCAAACATAATAATATTATAATAGACACTTACTGATTTTAAATTTTTTTTATACAATTTAGATTTTGATAAAGAGTTTCTCTAATCCTTACACAAGTATCACTTAAGCTTAGTTGTTATTTATATAGGGGAAGGCTAGGCAGAAACGAACTAATAACTTCTAGTCATTGTAGAACTTACAAAATTTAAAAAATTTGAAATTGAATTTAGTAAATATTTCACAAATATTGTCAGCTTCAATAATATTGAAACATTTTCAAAAAATCTTAACTTGAACTCAAAAAAAAACAAAAATTTTGAAATTATCTAAAAATATGATTTTTCACCATAGGTGCCACACCGGCAAATTTTTATTATTTTTTTGTTGCTCTTCAAATTATTTTCAACATAACATCATAAACGATATAATAATATACCGAGTATAATATAATATATTTAGTATACGAGAGATCGCGGGTTATTAACCGGTTTTCGTGTGTGATGCGTTTCAGTTTCAATTTGGACTTTACGAAGGGCGTGTTCCAGTGAATTTTCCTGAAACAGTTCCAGCAGAGTTGCCGGTAGTTATACAGTGCTTAGAAGTTAATAGTACAGTTCGTCGACTGGTCTTATAAAATATAATTATAATAACTATAGGATATGCCTTTGAATAATGCACAATATTTTTATTTTTGAACGTATTTTTCTAGGATTATTTTAAGTAAAATTAAAATTTGGGATGTGATCTGACCCAAAACAAGTTCTCAGCTATTGAAAAAAAAAAAACAAATTTTGATGTATTTGATATATCCAGTGAAGTACCTAATTTTTGTTTAAATAATATACCTATCAAAAACCTCTCTAAATAAGTATTGGGCAGTATATTATAATTTACAACTATAAAAACTTTTGAATAGTTCTCTCTTAGAGTTTTATTTTAAAACCAGGGACCGGAACTTAACCGGAAAAATCGGTTCTGGAACCCAAAAACCCTTACAATATTGAGAACCGGAACCGAAAATAAATATGTTCAAATAACCGGAACCGGAACCCATATTTTTAAATTCAAATATTTTAATGTACCTATGTGTAGAAAACATTTATTTGAAGATACTAAAGAATAAATAAAATATGTACATTTTCGTAATCGTTTAATACTTGTTTTAACTAGAACCCTAACTTAAACTATTAAATTAACTTTCCAAAACCAGAACCAGAACCAGAACCCTTAAATAAAAATTGTCATAAACGGTACCCGGAACCAGAACCTCTTAATAAAATAATTAAGTACCGGAACCTGAACCGTAAAAACTAAAAGGTACCAGTCCCTGTTTCAAACATAAACAAAATCAATCTATTAGTGTCTTACTAAAATATATAAGCTACAAACATACATTTGGTTTTACGATATAGTTTCTTTGAATGAGTAAGAATGCAGTTGTTGGTTAATTATAAGTGTGGCAATTTGGGTACAATTTAGGCAACATACGGCATAAGACATTAATATTATAATATGTGTATCTCAGTGGCTGATCGTGGTAGTTTGATATGAGAGTGCGATAAAATTTTTTTTTAAATTTGCAAAACTGGAAATGAAAATAAACTATATTTTACCTGTAATAGCTGTATCGACACTTACATACTACAAACCACTTTGAAGGTGAAATCATAAATAAAAAAAAGATCTCAAATAATAATAAATAATTATCAAATTAATATGATTTGAATAATATGTGCATGGGGTTATTTCGACTCCGACGTTTTAATATCGATTCCGTCGGGTTTTTTCGTTTTAATGTTGCATATTAATATATTGTAATATCGATAATATCGAAATTTACGCGTGATCAAACACAATTAAAAAATGCGCATTGAGTAATACCTACTTTTCCGTTATGGTCTCATTGAAGTCATAACACGAAGTCCGCAATGATAAATCGGCCGACAGCGGAATAACCATATTGGCTTTAGTATTTTTCGATAACGAAGACTAAAAATGTTTTTTATTTTTCCAAAAAAAGTTTTGAAAACATCGGTAACACGTTGTTTTGGTCATGTGTCACGACGATGTCTATTGTATGAATTGGGAAATAATCACAGATCCATTGGAAGTGTCTTAGGGTGATTAGCCCCAACCTTGGGAAAGATATATTTTATTATGTATTTATCTATTCAGTAATTAGTTCGTACGTCTTAAAATGTATAAAGATTTTATATTGCACTAAAAAAAATATAGTTGTATTTTTTATGAAAAAAAAACCCTCGGCTCTTTACATGCATTCGTAAATTTGTTTTCATGGTGGGACATGTTATTTCAATGCTTTGCATCCATCATAGAGGTTAATGTCTATCAAGAAGAACGAGAAATTGAGCCAATATGGTTAAGTATTTTATAGTCGAAATGTCATTATCGACAAGTCTGTAAAATCATCACGATAACTGTTTAAACTATTTACCAAGAACATATAACCGTTCAGACCAACCACATGAAATTGAAAATGCATCGTTACCTGTGGTACTACAATAATATATGAATATTAATATTATGGTATGGATTGCCACGTCATCAAGATTATAGTATCTGATTAAGTGAGACGATATCACCTATCTTACCGTTATTTACGTATTTATACTTGTCACAAAAAATATTTACAAGCAATGTTAAATGCGACAGAAAATTATACATTTTATGTAACACGGCGCTTTATGTATGCAATAATGATACAACATGCATTTATACTGAATATAATAATTATTTATATTATTATTATTAAGGACTTTGGAGCAACTTGTTAGTATAGAAATTTGTTTTACAGAAATAACTCTTTTGTTCTACAGAATAGTCGAATTTCGTTAATTAAAGATTCTAAGCGGATCAGGGAATGTATTGATTTTACAATGATATGTGTTTTTCTTAAATTTTTAATTTTTTTTTTGCGTATATCCTTAATGTTTGGTGGATTCTTCAATTTTCTTCAACAGTATCTGGTTCGATGGGAAAGTGAACTTAAAAATAAATTGCATTTTTCTAGGATTATTTAAAATAAAATAAAATTTGGGAAGTATAAAAATTCGATAATATATCAAATATATCCCGCAAAGAGTCATTTTCATTTATATATTACACCTATCAACACCCCCCTCCCCCCCACCATAAATAGGTATTGGG